AAACCAGTGAACTGAATTAAGTGAAATCTATGTTTAATATCTAATCTAACCCACATGTGTATGTATGATAGGACCTTTATTTATTTATTTAATGTGTGTATTTATGTGATAATTTTCGGATCGCTATCGTCAAAAAGTGCGATAGCGATTCGAGAATTGTCGCAACTGGTTACAGAATCACCCTTCTGAGGTACAAAATATCGGAAAGAAGTACATTCGACTGTACTTCGAAGAACGAAGTACAAGAACGAAAAAAGAAGTACTGTACTTCTGAAAGAAGTACGGTTGATCACATTATTCATACACAGTATCAACAATAACACCGCTGCAGCGCTGTGCGCTTTATTTTGATTTGAGGATTGTTAAGTTCCATTTGAAGGGGTTAGAATCAAAAGGATCTAAGTAGATATGAATTTTTTTGAGATGATTAAGGTTAAAGTTGATTACTTATTGTAAATTCTGGGTAAATGCATTTGAAATGATTCTTGCCTAAATGAATGCAGGTTAATTAACTAATTCAAAGAATGTTTACCTTTATAACCAAATAAGCACTATATTTAATTATACAAATATGGGTATAACTTATATTTTCAAAAAATGTCACTTATACCCTTTTGATCCCACTCCTTCAATTATTCGTTTTCGTCCCTGTTTTTGTTTCATATCGAGCAAAGCAGTGCTATGTTCGGGCGAATGTGATACAGCGGAAGATCTGCAAAACAAAATTGTTGCTTTTGCTTCTGTACAGATACCCATAAATAAATCTTACATGGTTTATTTCGATGTATTTCTGAGGCAAATATAGTTCTACTTGTATTATAAATCTATATAGTACATATGTATCTACATATAGTCGTACAGAGACAATTTACTTTCAAATTAAGGTTCTGGATCGGAAACTTTGCGCAAACATTTCAGATTTAAGAATCATTCGATGTAAGTACATATTTGCACGAAAGATTTTTAAAATTTTACATTGAGCAATTTTAAAATGTAAAACTGAATCTCACACACGCATTCTCATTTTCACCAATTTTGAACAATTTCATTTCTTTATTTCCAATTTTGTATGATTTTAAAATGCTGGAAAACTTAAAAAATTAAGATTAGTGCCACAAGAGATTATTTTGCGAGATTTAGCCGATTGGGTATTTGAACCTCAGCCTGGTGTAATTAATCAAAACCACTTGAAGGATCGATCAATTTCGCGTCCACGAAATAAGCACTGTACGATAGTTAATAAAGAAATGGTTAATATGTTGCCCGGAGTAGAAATGACATCGATATCTACTGTCGTTTCTCAATATCCACAGGAGCAAGTAGAAGTAGGGGAGTTGCACCTCATGACTTCATACTAAAAGTTGGAGCAGTTAGCATCATCCACAATCTAAGTATGTACGTATGAAGGGTTAGTTAAAGAATTACAATGTAATTGTTTGGATGCCGCAGTACAAATATGAACATATAAAGGGTTATTTAATGGACTTTAAACATGTGATTCGAATTATACTATCCCATATAAATAAACAGCCCAGCGAATTAACTCTTGCTTTTGTATTTAACCGTCGCCAATTCAAAATTATTGTAGCGTTCGCAATAACAATAAATAAGCCTCAAGGTCAGACCCTAGCAAGAGGATTGCTTAACGCATGGCGTATTGAGTAGAGTACGATCTTGCCCAAATACTAAGTTAAAGTTAACTACCAAAAGCAATGTATGTGGTTTTTAGAATAAAGAAATATGCAGATTTTTAGACGACGGAGCACCCCGCTTTTCGGGGATTATAACTAGATGGAATTATTTGAGTACCTTAGAATTATTTCTTTACCTATTCCGAGGAACTAAACATTTTTTTTTTGGTATTCCATTTTTTCACATAATTATTTACTTACGTAAGTCTAATCCGTCCATACACGTGGATCATTTTGTTGTTTTATACGGCTTTGGTTTATTTGTTCTTTATGCTCGCATTTTCTCCAGTTTTTTTTTACGTTAAATTTCCACAGTTCATGTATTGACATGATTTAGATGCCGGCTCAACTCTACACTTTTATTTCGTTTTTGTTTTTGTTTTATTAATCTCTAGCACTGTTTCCTCTATTGGTAAAAATAGAATTTGTAGTTGCATCGCGTGTTAATTTTAGTTTGCTCTGATGTTTTTTTTCTGAATCACGTTTTGTATGCAAGTTTAATTCGCTAGTATTGGCCGGTAA